GCAGGAGATTAATAGCCACACATCAGTGATCAGCCTAAGGCTACTTAGTGTATGTCTTGGGCTTGATTCCTATTTCCTAAGGCTGCAGTGTTGGGGATTCATTGTTATTTCAATGAAATCATCTGGAAGTGGTTTCAAAATAGTGCTGGATAGGGATGCAAATGTAGGAAGGTTTAGGATCCATCATATGGATGGCTAAACCATACTGGATGGCTGGGCGAAATTTCAAAAATTTCCCAATTCTTTTGGGAATCGAATTCCCTATGTTTTGAAAAACTGCATTATCGGTCTTGCATTGAACTGAACCATATTTAAAACCAAACAAAGAAGAAGATGTATACCTGATACGGATTTCACAAATGCAAATCCCAAGGTGGAATTTCATGCCCAAATCAGTCCTAAAACCAACCTCCGCTGAAGATGGCATAGTGTGTAGATGAAACCAGTTCAACAACACTGTTTTAAGCAAAATTGTGGTCCAATTTGCTTGAATCGAATGAGGTAAGTGAGCCTGATTTTCTTCTGAGTTTTTCTTGCAAAAACAAAGAAGATAACTGATATAAATTAGTTCTTGAAAGCCTAGGTCGTGATAGGGTTTATTGGAAGACAAAAGAGAAGAAGAGAGAACAAGAGAGTAGTGTTCTAGTCTGGTTCGACCTCTTCTTCTTTTATCTCCTTATGGTTATGGAGCACTCTCCTAATCAAATTAGGAGATTATCCAAATCAAATTAGGAGATCATCCTCACTTAAGAGGATGAGTGCTCCATACCCATTTCCAAACCCATATTTGACCTAGAGCAAGTTGTCATGTGACAATTTACTTAATCTTATTAATTATGGGCATTAGGCCCATTTACTTCAAAGGCTCATGACCCAAGATGTTGCATGGCCAACTTAGGCCTGATTTGTATGGCGTGGGACCCCACAATGACCTCACATAAGTCCACATGTATTCGGCCCAACCTCTCTAGAAAGGTTTGGCCGAATTCACTGCTAAATGCAGTGAACCCCTACATATATCACTATGGGCTCAATATGGGCCTAGCATTTACACCTAAATGATCCTTGAATTCAGCCCTCTTATGAAGACCCAAGGATAATGGACTTAAGTAAGCTAAAACCCATCAGGTAATCAGTCCTGTAATAGTCTCTTACGCTTAACTTCTCGGCCCATAATGATCAAACCCTACTCGACAGGGAATGGCCTCTCCCCTGGCTGCAAGGTGTAGTGTCACATTCTCTATTCGGATGAATCTCGGGAATTAAAATCTTTTGCAAACATTTTTCATAAAACATTAATATATATATATCATATAAGTATATTTTGCAAAACCAAATCTCAAACACAGTTGAAATCCATTGTTGGTAGTTTAGGTTTCCATTAGAGAGAGTGTAAACCCTATCATTCACTTTGTCCGACAAAGGGGCCGATCTTATCACTATGATCACCCACTCAAGTGAATTCTCAAATTGCCCCAATATACCCAGGTTTGACCTTTGATTTATCTCACTGATTGGCATATCAAAGCCAGCCCAATCCAACACATAATGCAGTACCATAATCAAGTCTAGGGGTTATGTGTAACTTTCTAGTTTTGCCCATCAATCTCCAAGGTCTAGGGCATAACTRGAAAATGGTCCGGGTTCAGTGTTTCATCCAAACACACACTGCATGTGCTTTGGGTCTAACCCTAGCAGGTAGGACAAGCTGCCCCAATTTCTTTAGCAACACATCGGCGTTTGCCTTGGCAGGATAAACTCCCCAAGTCTATCCAACGACTGAGAACATTCTAAGCTAACACTAGTCTCATAAGTGTCCAGTTTAAGGGGTAATTACAAAGAAACATACCAATATCAAAATGAAACAATAATGTACTTTTATTCATTTACAATAAATATATTTGTACACCAATCTGATTGGAGGACATACATTGTTTAATAGCAAACGGATTGGATCGGATTGAAATCAGGGTATATTTGAATCTGACCCGACACTGTTCATGTTGGATCCGATCTTATAGGACTCGATTTGAATTCGAATCCTATCGATGAGTTGGATCTTCGGAATCTGATCTGACTTGTTTTCTTAAAAAATTAATAAATTATTAAAAGAAAAATGAAATATACTAATTTAAATAAAATAAAAACAAAAATTACAAGTATTTTGAATTATTTTCATCATATATATACATGATTATTTTATAAAAAATAAATAATATAACAAATTTATAAAAATAAAATATAAAAAATATATTTATATAAACAAATAACATATTTATATGTATTATTAATGTTTATATTTATAAATATATAATATATATCGGATCGGATAGGGGGTCCGAATCTATTTCAAAGATCCAAACTGGGGTGATCCAAATTTGACCAAATAGGAGCGGATCTCGGATCTGATCCAATCCGATCCATTGGCACCCTTAGTGCTGGACCAATCTCTTATTTTTTTGGGAATGCCAGGGAGTTTCTCAATGCATCCATTACATCTTTATGATTAGATGAAACAAATTATTTGGAGTGGTCACAATCCATTAAAATCTACAATGGTGGTATAGGTACATGTTGTTCACCACGACTGCAATAGTACAGAAGGCGCTAAACTAATGCTACAGAAATGCCCATGACGAGTTCACAACTCATCATAGATTTGCGATGAGCTCAAAGCCCGCATAGACTTGTGATGAGCTCAAAGCCTGCACGAGCTTGCGGTGAGCTCAAAGTCACCACAAACTTGCGATGAACTCAAAGCCACAGTGCGGATGACGAACTTGAGGTTGCCATGGATCTGTGATGAGCCCAAAGCCATTGCGAGCTTGCGATGAGCTCAGGGCCATCACGAACTTGTGATGAGCTTAGGGCCATCGCGAACTTGCGATGAGCTCAGGGCCATTGCGAACTTGCGATGAGCTTAGAGACATCGCAAATCGATGACGAACGAAAAAGACAATGACTGGCTGATGTCACTCGTGACAAGACGCCTAGTAGGATTAAGAGAGACACGTAAGATTAGCGTTGACATCATCTACGCCACACCAATATAGGAGACCCGCAAAAGGAAGTAGCATACATGTATTATGAAAATCCTCAGGTGGAAGGAAATCTCGTCCTGGAGAGATCTCATAAGACACATGGCGAACCCTTAGCAGTGTCCCCCTGACAATTGACACCGAATCAATGATTCCCTTTCCAAATGGAAATCAAACTCTTTTGGCTCATTCCTTTAAGGACTTTGGGATCTCTCCTTATAAAGGGAGGCATGAATCATAATGAGCACATGACTCTGTCGATAGAAGCCCTTAGTCTACACACTTTGCTCCCAGCCTTTTTTTTGTCTTTCAAGGAGACCACCACACGTAGCCTTACCACACCACTCACAATGGGCATGGGAAGATTGGTTACATAATTGGAGAAACTAAAACATCTGCTTCTACAAACACGTCTTAAGCAAAATGGGTGCAAGAAAATTATATGGTGATGTTGTGGCTTCTTGGCTTCTTAAATCTATGCATTCACACATCAGCCATAATTTTATGTAGGCAAAAACTTCAAAAGAAATATGGGATGGTGTTGCTGAAACCTATTTCCAGTTATTGGATGTTGCAAGGGTTTATTAGTTAAGTGAAATCAACAGTTTGATAATTAAGATTGGGAAGAAATCTCTTGCCATTTACTTCTCTACTTTGAAATCTCTTTGGCAAGAAAAGTTCTTTGGGTTGAGCCTAGAATATGGCATCATGAGGCAACACATTCTCGCTAAAAGATGATATCACCTTATCTCAGGCATATGCTACAGTTCACAGTGAGGAAGTAGGAGGGTTGTGATATTGTCTTCTACTCCTGCACTAGATTTTTCTGCCCATGTGTCTATGAAGCCCAAGAATACTATGGGAACTCCTAGTCGCAAGGGTGAGAACAAGAAGTATGTGGTATGTGACTTTCAAAAAGCCCAAGCACATTAAGTAGAAGTATTGGAAGTATTCCTTAATGTGCTTGGGCGTTTTTGCAATAGTCACATACAACACCTTTTGAGAAATTGGGAAATGATCTTTTAGGGGAGAGTCCCCCACTTACTGTTCTTTCCAAAACATTATTTTGTTACCTGCCCAAGTGTCATACCTTGAATCTATGAACATAGATGTTAGATCATGGATAGAAGTCCAAGGAGAAGCAAAGTACCTCTAGTTGCCAACCAGGCATCTCAACCATTAGAGCACATCCTATGAATGATAATTACCACCGTGTGCCTCAATCCATTGGATTCAATTGGAAGTCTCCATAGCCATTTTCCAAGTGGGGATTTGTTATTCTCTCTCAACCTTCCAAGCCCCAAATGGCCTTTCCTCCTATAGGCTACATCCCACCTCACTATATATTCTCTTTTGGTCTCCCTTGCTTCCCAAAGAAAATTCCTCATGATCATTTCTAAGCTCTTCACCATTGACATTGGAGTAAAATACTAGAAGGTTTGCCAAAGTTGATCAAATCAAGGTCATCCTCCTATCCATAAGATGTGGCTCTTTTTCCAAGAGGTTAGCTTTTTAGTGAATCTGTTAAGAACCAGGTCTTAGAAATTGCTAGCTCTGGGTTTGCCTCCTAATGGAAGACCTAAATACTTAATGGGCCAAGGAGACACCAATGATCCCATTGCTACAGTATATCTTCCCAATTCCTCATCCCCGATATTTAATCCCCCTAAACTGCCCTTGCGCTCAAGTTAAGTCTTAGATTTGTTTTTCTCTTGAACAACTCAATCAAAAGTTCAGGCCTCATTCTTACCTGCTTGAACATGATACGATTCTTTGAGATAACTCATTTGTCACCAGAAATTGTTCTTACCTATTTTTCTATTTGCTAAAATGATTTTTCTCATTTATAACATTTTTCTTTAACAATTATTTTTTTTATTTGACTAAAATATTCTACCTTGTATCTGTTTAATTGCATAAGGACAACTTGTTAATATCTTTTTCCATTCTTACTTTTTGTAGGTAAGACAAAATACTGGGTTTTCTGATGAGGGCTTCTCTGGGGTTCCAGTTTTCCAGGTTCTTATCTTAGCACATCTCAATCTATCTATTAATTAGCAGCAACATTTCTATTTGGTGTATGTTCTGAAAGGTAAGTGAAACATTATCTTTGCATGCTAAAAACCAACTTAAAGAGAGTGAAAACCCAACATAGTAATCCCAATATATCCGCAACGAAGTTAGAAAACCAGTATACCAAACAGAAACCAAAGTGAATGCCACATGTGTTATGGGTGTGCAAATCTTAGAGCATAGGTACTGGTCTACTGGAAAATCCAAGAGATCACCTATAGGACACAGATGGATTCTAAAACGTGATTGCACTCCATCTATTTAATTGATTTATTGGGTGGGCAATTTTAAACATTTGATAAATTGGAAGTTACTTGGTAACAGTTTTTTTTTTTTTTATTTATTTTTTATTTTTTTCAAGGAGATGATGAAGGATGATTCGAGAGTTGTGTACTTAGATCACTAACTTATAGAAAAAATGATAAAAAACAACAAAGAGAAACAAGAGAGGAGAGTAGACAAAGAGGAGAGCATGTGAAAGAGTTTGAGAAAGGTAAAGTAATTTCATTACATAACGAGGCAACAACTGAGGGAATATACACTGAGACACTGTTTTAGTGATCTAAAAGGCATGCCTAGGAACACAGGAGAGGTTCATTTTAAGGTATGCGCCTCACCTAGTCCTCAAGTGCAGCACTTTCAAAAGGCGCATGCCTGGTGTGCCTTGTGCTTCAGCCCAGGTGTGCACCTTTTGAAAATTTGTTCCTTTTTGATTTTTTTTTTTTTCTGTTTTTTTATGCCTAATGGCTTGATTGAGGGCTCTGCCTTTGGGTCCCCAACCAAGCCCTTTGAGGCAAGCCCAAACAAGTCCATATAAAGGTCTTACATTCTTAATCCCTACAAAAAAGAAAATATTTTATAACTTTAATAGTCTCTCTTAGAAATATCTTTTATTAAGATGAATGAACGAGCAACATTAGCAAATATGGGGTTTTCGGAGAATTAGGAACACATAAGGTTTAATGTTTAAGACCCTGGTACGAACTTGTTTGGGCTTGCCTTGAGGGACTTGGTACAAAGGCGGTTTGTAGAGTTAGGAATGTGTAATGTTTAACATCACATTAGCTATTTGAAATAATGCAATTGGAAAAAGAATAAAGAGATTGAGAATTTTACATGGTTGAATATGTTTCTTTTTTTTGAGAAAAAGGTTAACCAAATTTCATTAAAAAAAGCAGGGAATGCATGAGCAGATGTACTACACAGAAAAAAGAAAACCCAACAGATAAATAAAAAATTACAGAGGGGGAAGCCTATTGCTGTACAGATTCTCTAGTCTTGCTCCAATTTTAGCTAATCCATCTGCAATATGATTCAGCTCCCTCGGTATCCACAACAAGTTTGAGTTTAGATTTTCCAAGGAGTCTCTTGCCTCAGCCAGATAATGACTCAACCTCCAAGGACCCCCTCCTTGTCCTTCAGCCATTTAATGGTATTAGCAGAATCTCTGAATCTCCTACAATAGATAAGTTCTGAATGCCCAATCTTTTTATTATTCTGATTCCAATGAGAACAGCCATAACTTCAGCCGTTGTTGAGTCAGCATAACTGATTGGGCCACTGAAAACCCAACAGATATTACCCAGATTGTCCCTCAAAATACCCATGTTTAGGATCAAAAATATATAATATATGATGCAAAAAAATATAAGGCTTGAGGGGCCAGATTTGACAGCTGGCCCACTTCACATTAATTAAAATTTAATTTATTCTGGTTATGGGGGGGGGTTAAGCAACCACCCCACGTATGAAGAGTGGGGAGGTTGCTCTAACCTCCCTACCCATAACTGTCTTATAAGAGAGAGAGGAGAGGAAAAATGGGCGGCAGATAGAGAAAAAGAGAAGAGAAAGAGAAGAAAATGAGAGAAGAGAGAGGAAGAGAGGAAATAAGGAGAGAACTTGTAGTTCTGCTGGTTGAAGTGATTAAGGATAAGTGTACACAGGTATAGATCTTATCTTTTTTCTTCTTTCCCTTTTATCTATTATCAATCTTTATCTTATCCTCTCTCTCTCTCTCTCTCTAGAGTTCTGTTAGAACTCAAAATCTTATCTCAAATTATATATACATATATATCTAGAGGATCCCATCCACCACAAAGATAACAAAAAACTAATACTAGGGAGCCTCTGATATGATTGGTGGATTCTATCCACCCCAAAGAACTTTCAGTAGGCTAATCCAGTGCACTGTCAATACACCTGAAAATGGGATAGATGTGCTGGTTTACCACCTGTAACAACACTTTGCCACTTGTTGCAGCACTGTTATCTACCTGAGAAGGGGGACAGATGTGCTGGTTTGCTACCTGTAACAGCACATGTTGCCACTTGTTACTGACAATTTTTTGGGACCCATTGTTTTCAGTTTGCTGCTAGTGGGCTCAACCTGTCAGTGGGGCCCACTATAATATTCAGTATAAAACATTAAAGTGGGCCACACCCACTATCAAATCAACCTAGTGGGTCCCACCTGTCAGCGGGGCCCACTGTTAAAATATTTAGGATAAAACATTAAAGTGGGCCAAACCCACTATCAAACTAACCTAGTGGGTCTCACCTGTCAGTGGGGCTTACTATTAAAATATTCAGTATAAAACATTAAAGTGGGCCACTCCCACTACCAAATCAACCTAGTGGGTCTCACTGTTAAAATATTTACGTTTAAAACATTAAAGTGGGCTACACCCACTATCAAATAAACCTAGTGGGTCCCACCTGTCAGTGGGGCCCACTGTTACAATATTCAGTATTAAACATTAAAGTGGGCCACACCCACTATCAAATCAACCTAGTGGGTCCCATCTATCAGTGGGGCCCACTGTTAAAATATTTAAGTTTAAAACATTAAAGTGGGCCACGCCCACTATCAAATYAACCTAGTGGGTCCCACCTGTCAGTAGGGCCCACTGTTAATATATTTAGTATAAAATGTTAAAGTGGGCCACACTCACTATCAAATCAACCTAGTGGGTCCCACCTAATCAGTGGTGCTCACTATTAAAATATTCAAGTTTAAAACATTAAGGTGGGCCACACCCACTAGCAAGTCATCGTAGTGGGTCCCACCCATCAGTGGGGCCCACTGTTAAAATAATAAAATGTAAAATATCAAATTGGGTCACATCCACTATTAGATTAGTATAGTGGGTCCCATTGATTTGTGGGGCCTACTATTAAAATATTAAAGTGGGCCATGCCCACTACCAAATCAATATAGTGGTTGCTACTTTTTACCGATTAACGAAACTCACTGTTAAGATGTGTAAGGTTAAAATACATAAGTACCCAATGGCGTATSGGTCCTATGGCTTATCTACCAATTGTGGGACCCACTCATGGGTATAACCCACTAAGAATCCAAGTTGATGGGACTGCTTATACCTGCTATTGGGTTTAACCCTTACAAAGTAGTTCTTTCACATAAAATCAAAATCAAAGGGTATTTCTTCTAAGGAATATAATTAAGGGGTTTTAGCAGACATAGTGCATACTTATACACCCTGAATATGGAAACCCTAATTCTACTCAAAGTTCTTTGTTTTTTTCTTTTTTGTGAATTATGATCAAAACAACCCACAATCCCAGCTACACCAGGATTGCCTGCAACACTTCCGTCGAAGTTTAAAGTCATTCCTCCTTCATTAGGAGGTACTTGTAGTCTCTGGACTGATTGAGGGTAGGTTGGAAGAAGCAAGATTGTTTGGATATTTCTGTTAAGGTCATTGAGAGAGAGTCCTTGGAACAGTTCAGAATTAGCAGCCCAGAAATTACATTTGAAAGGATATCTGAGATTAGCTCTTCAAGAGATCTGATTTTGTTGTCAAATAAGCACATGTTTCTTTCCTCCCAAACTCCCCACAGAACTGCATGTAACATTGTTTGCTAGTAAACTTTACCTATATTGCTCAAGCCTGAACCTTGCCACTGATGGAGAAACTCCTGAGTATGCTTTGGAAAATCCCAATTGTAACCAGCCAAGTTTAAGAAATGGCACCAAATCTTTTGAGAGAAATTGCAATGGATAAGTAGATGATCAGCTGATTGACCTTCTCTTAGGCATAATAGACAGGCATGGGGAGAAATATAGGATCTTCCCAAACTTTTTTTTGAAGAAGGTCACAGGTATTTATTCTTTGTAGGCACGCTTCCCAAACAAAGAAGCAGACTCTTAAGGGAATGTGACTGCACCATATCTTCTTGAACAGGAAAGAGGAACTCTGTTCACTTGCAATTAGAGCCTTGAACATAGATTTGGAAGAAAATTCACCATTTGGGTGGAGGGTCCACACTTAGGTGTGAATGGAGAGAGGGGAGGTATAGTCTTCTTTAATGGTATTCTTAACAAAGAAAGAATAGTAGGAAACAAGAAGAAGAAGGAAGAGAGAGAAGAGAGAAGGGAGAAGAGAAGAAAGATGTTTGGCGAACTGAACTGAGTCTGGCAGTGCCAGATTATATCATTTTATATAGGGTGACCATAAATAAAGGGGAAAAGACCCTTGTGCCTCTACTATAGTTAAAGCACAAGAACAATAATAAAAAAGCCATTTTAAACAAACTAAATAGATCATAACTAAGCAGAATAAAAACATAAATGTAAAGTAAACTATTACAACACTCCCTCTCAAGTTGTGACATAGATGTCAATCATGCCCAACTTGTCACACAAATTATTATGCCACACATGATGAAGGCCCTTGGTGAAGATGTCTGCAAGTTGTTTTTCTGAGCTGACATATGGAGTGCACACTAATCCACTCACAAGTTTTTCTCTAATAAAATGCTTGTTCACTTCAATATGTTTTGCTTTATCATGGAGGACTAGGTTAGCGGCAATGTTGATAGCAACTTTATTGTCACAATAGAGTGACATGGGGGTTGTTAACTGCAAAACCCAGTTCACCTAACAAGTTTTTTATCCACATGATTTCAGCAACTCTATGAGACAT